TTCTACGTCGTTTTTGTTTTGCGCTGAATTTTATGCGCATTACTCCCCCCTTCCACCCCTCTTCCAGCGCCAGGCTTCGTAATATCGTTTTCGCCTGAAATAGTTGCGAAAGCAGTGAATCCCGCTTTCGCCGGAATTTGGAATTTAACCATTGTAATTTTTCCCCGCCCGTGAATTCCCATTTTCTAAGGTCTATTGAATAATTTAATCTCCACCAGGGAACCAGAAAATATTTCGCAACGAAGAAAAATTCGCACTTTCCGTTATTAAATTGGAAATCCGCGTTTTCCCTTCTTGCGCGTGCGGATCCTTGTGCTTTAACTTTCACTGTCCATTTTCTTTTTTTTTTTTTTTTTGAAATTAAAAAAAAACATATACAGAAAGATTATATTAATCGTCGTATTAGTGTCAACAAATGTACGAACCTATCCTCGATTCTTTCGTAATTGAATTGTTAAAACGCACATCTCATTTTTAATAATATAAATTATAATGTACTTAGTTCGAGTGTCGGACGAGTTGTAAATTTTCCTACTACAATTTCGGCAAGTCCGGAATCAAAACTTTCGATCATCGAGCGTGTTTTGTCGAATTAGGATCACAGGAGGTGGACAAACTGGCTCGATCTGCAGCTGACGGAGAGGAATGGCAGACAGCTGCAACCTCCGCTTGTCAAACGTTTTTCGGTCAAATTACTTATTTACCGGTGACTAATAGGGGACATTCTGACGATAGAGCTGTTGTAACGTCAAGCTGTGACTCGGCGACTCTATCGCGAGCAAGCCTGCGATCGTTCGAATCCAACGATCTGAAATCGAAGTGGAAACGATCCCTCTTCGCGTGTCCTCGTGGCTCCCATCTGTTCGCAACGTTCTGTCGATGATTTGTCACTGGCGGAAACGTCCATTCCGACGAACGTGCGTAGCAAAATTAGCAAATATTTCGACACTCACGAGCATTACGTTCGTTTCGAAACTGGAGAAATTAAACAGCTGTTTGAGAACGTTAAGCACGTTGGAAAAGTTGGAAATTTCAACGTCTTTCGCGAGTCATTTTTACGGAAAATTCCAATCGAATCTATGCAACGTTTCTTGAGAAACGATCCATCGTGTTAAACGTTGCCTCGCAGGATGTAAACAAAGAACAAGGAAATTAAGTAATTATATTTTTCATAATGATTAAAAAGTTACGTCAGCACAGCACAGTCGGAAAAATTGGGAATTTTCAACGTTTTCAGCGGAAAATGCCGATCGAATTTCTACGTTTCTTGAGAAACGATCGTTAAACGTTCGCGTTGCCTCGCTGGATGTAAACGAAGAGGAAGGAAATTACAGGAGGCTTCAAATTATCGAGTTATATCGACAAATTAGATAGTTCGTAACCACCGTTTAAGCTCACGGTCCTTAAGCTTCCGCACCATTACAAACTCCGATGCATTTTGCCCCGACCTCCTGTGCGTACGCCGCCATCTACTTTACGCAAAGCCGCGTGTACGGTCCAATTAAAAGTTGTTGCCAGCATCTCTAGGCGAACGAACGAGTAAACTTTCTGATCCGCTCGCGAACGCGCGAGCGACTTTTTCGCGTAAAACTCGCCGGCTTCCTTCGTGAAATGCGTTGGCACCGAGGGCGAGCTATACCGACGATAAATGATCTTTTTTTTTCTTTTTTTTTTTTTTTTTGGTTGACCAACGAAAGTTAATTTCTTATTTCATCATTTCAATGAATCTGATTTTCTTATGTTATATCGAACTGGCTTATGTTATATTGAACTTGATCTAAATTTTATGACAAATCGATTTTAATAAATAAGTAAATTTGAAATCGACGAATGATTTTAATCGTTTCAATCGAGTAGTGACGGACTTAATAATCTCGAAATTAACAAATTGTTTTATTTCAATCTCGAATTCGTCCGGCTCGCTAAATTTAAGCGCGATAAACTGCTGTCACTTTATTTTAACGAATTTGAGGCTCGATCCGTTTCGACGCGTTTAATTAAGTAGCTGTCAATCGGATAAAATCAGTAATTCATATTCGATAAATTACACGTTGAATTTGATGTAATTCTTTCGCGAGAAGGACAGGAATACGAGAGTTTGTCACGTTCGCGTGCTTACGAGATGGGATTCATAAAAATATTCGTCCACGTTTTTCACTGAAGTTAAAAATATTTCTGAAAGGTTCGCTGGTTTCGTTCGAAGGAGTAACAGCCGATGTTTGGTCAGGGAGTCCGTTGTTGCTTTATAGTAACGAGTATTTGAACGAGTAATCGAGCTGTATTTTCAAACTTCTTAGATAAATATAGCGCCGCAAGTTTTAGTCTGCCACAGTGGAATAGTCAAGCTATGGTCAGACGTCTGGCAATTGGACCAGTATTTCACGGTTACTGTAAATGTTCTTCTTATTCGCCTATTACAATAAACGTCCAAAAAGTATGAAATTATCGTCTGTCATAATGGCGAAACAATTTCAATTTTTATCAAACTTTTGCGAAGTATTTGTTAACTATTACAAAATAATGTTGTTACGCTGATCGAATATTTTTGAATATTCGGAATTTATTAATTCATTTCTGTAAAAATTTTGATAACTTATTTCTAGTATTGTTTTTGATAATTATCGAATGATCGGTTTAATTATTTCATCTTTTAATACATCATTTAATAATTTAAATGATTTATTTGTGATAATTTAGTCGTGCTCGATCATTAATCCAGCAAATCAATTCTTTGACGTTTCTATATCGTTAGTGATTGATTCTAATGATTTATTTCCAAGAAATTCAATTAATTTAAGTCTACGGTACTTTTTAATCACCATTCAATAACAATAATAGTTTATTTACAATTACATTTATTTATTTATCGTAGTGCAATATTTGACAAGAATTCGTTCAATTGTTTCAAACAATATCAGTACAGAGTGCAAAATGCAAAATCTATTAAAGAATAGGAGATCATGTCAAAATGCGAACGTTTTGTATTTTTTTTTTTTTTTTTAATAGAATAATTTTAATTTAATATTATTTTATTAGTTATGTGTTATTAATGTTAAATATCATTTTATTTCATCGATATTACCACATCAGTGATTTATTTATGATGCGTGCAGAATTCATCATGCGGGAATAAAACATTTATTACACATTTAATATAGGGTGGCCACTGACAAAAATAACTTTTACAAATACATGTTTTTTAAATTCCTTATTATTTTATTTAGAAATATAATTAATGGATTTTTTTCGGTATGGATCAATGGATTTTTTTTTTTATTACGTGTGAAAGACAACATCAAATGACAACCATTTTCGCGCTCACAAATACAGGCTCTTTCCAAACCCCTGAGTTTTTCAGTGGCCACTCTGTATGTAGCGTTTAATTTGCAAGAGAAAGGATATAGAACGAAACCGATAGCCGATCAATTTTTGAATCAATTTTTTAACAGTCAATCGCCTGCCTGTTCCTTTTTGTTCTTATTAATTTCGCGCGAACGGCCATTTACGTATCGTAATTTCTCTCGTAACGTGATTTCCATCTCCTATCCAAAGTCGCAACGAATTCTCGCGATGTTGCGGGTGGAGAATTCAAGCGGAGGTTAGGACGAATCAGCGAGAGTCAAACGTCAGCTGCTCGCGCGCCGCGAGTTTCTCGCTTTGAGGAATGGTTGTTGAACAATTAATACGCGTAACACGGCGATTATCGCGGCGAAGCCAGGTAAAAGTTTGGGATTGCTGATAATTAAACGGGTTGCACGCCGGCGGGAGTCGCTTAATTGCCGAAATGCCGCGATAGTTTCGGCGAATCGCCTCCGCACGCTGTAACGTCGCGGAAAGTTAACCGGCATTCGCGTGCATTCGGCAATTAGGCGATTGTGTGTACCGGCTCGCGTGTTGCCAGTTCGCCTCCGTCGCCTGATAAGTTTTCGACGACGACGACGACGTTCAAGTTGCCCTCACCGCCGGAGATTTCGCCGCCTCAGCTGGAGCTGACGCTTACTTCCGCCGCCGGGAATTAAAATCCACTTAACCCGTGACCCTGTTCTCCGCAACATAGATGGCGCATCGCTCGAGGTTCTCCAAGTCCGCCGCGAACCTCGTCCCGACGCGTGTAAACTTTCGCGATTTGCGAAACATGCTCGTAACCGGTGATTAGGCCTGCTATTTGTTAAACGTCCGTTGGAAATTTTAACACACCGAAGACAAGTGTTCGAGTTAATTGTAATTGTGTGGTGGTTTGGGTGTCTTTATTCGGGTTTTAGAATTACTCATTCTTCAATCTTTGATCGATTCAATCTTCAAGTGTTTTCTTTCATTTTAGGTACTTTCGTCATTACTTATTAGTAGATGTGATTAGAATGATCATGATTACTAATCATTCATTTTTTTAACTCATTTTTTAATATTCCATCTTCGAGTATTCCTTTTTCATTTTACATACTTTCATTATTATTGTTACTTAGATATGAAATGTCATTTGTCATTAGTTATGAGTTATTCTCCGATTTTTGATTAAACGATTTAATCTCTAAG